AAGAAGCTAGAGACGCGTGATTATTGCAACCATTGCAACCACGATTACTTTCACTCTGCAAGACAACGGCTTACAAGCGGAATTGCGTGTACATAGCGTTGCCTGGAGCGTCGTAGGGTGATTTCCTGTGCTCTTGCTGGGGAACGGTTGCACGTCGAATCCTGTTGATTGGGCTTACTGACGTCCGACAAACTCGTCCAAGAAGCCGGCCCCACTGCTGGTCTCTTTTCAGTGTGTTCACAAGGTTTTCCTTCCCTTCTTTCCCCACTATGGAGTTACTTATGGGCGAGCTACTGGTTCATGTTTGGCAATATACTACCCGTAACACTTGTTCGCGGGAATTGTCTCCAAGGAATTTCTGAAATGCTAGCTAGCAGTGAACGCAGAGTGAAGGATGATCAATGCCTGGCGCCGTATTTTTCTTTATGGATTCAAATTTCAGATCTGTCAACCACAACACAGTGAAGGCTGGTCCCATCTATTCTTTCAAATGATGCTGTATGGAATGGTTTCTCCTGATAAAGACAGGTACGAATCCCTCTCACAGTGGTTTTCTATGTCGTGTGACCCTCGAACCCCAGCTATGTACTTTTTCAATTTTTTCCTACCTTACTTTCATTTTACAAAGTGTTTTATCAAACCCAAACTGAAATCTTACTTACTGTTCCACAGGATTCTTTACGATTCTTGCTATGACATGCTGTCCACTTTAATGCTGTGGACCTTGACGGATCCGTCGACTGCAACGCAACAGATGAGTGAGGGAAGTGAACCGAAATTCAGATGGCCTTACTATTCGATCATCATCAAGAAGCTGAAAGTGAGTTTTGCGAACTTTTTACTCATTTCAGCACCAATACACATTACATCCATTCGTTTCCTTCAGAAGGAAATAGCAGATCAAAGAGTTCCTCCCGAACTTCGTGCTCTACTACAATTTCTGCCCATACCAAAGAATACTATATCCGTATTTGCTATGGAGCCATATGGTACGCTTTCGGCTGCTAATGCCCAAAAAACTTCAGGGGTAAGTTTTTCACCAGTTATGCTTTTCTGTCTACAATTGCCAAGAGTGTTATGGGCTATTGACTTCATGTTAGTCCAGGGAGCATCTGAAATGAGTGATCGATAGCTTGCAAACCGGCAGTCTTTCCTATCCCATTTTTTTTCCTCTTGAATAGCATTGCATCATCACTGCGCTTGAGGCAGGTCTTTACGATCGCGTTCGATACCGTTTGCGACGTCGACGGTTCAACGTCGACGAAAGCTGACGTAAGCCCTGCGTAAGTTTGCGTAGCTGGCGTAATTTGCGTAAGCCGCGTAAGTTGCGCTAACGACGACAGCTAACGATCTGATACGTATTCTTTGTCTTCCTCGAAAGTTGTTCGGTCGGTGGACGCATTAACGCAGCTTACGCACACATTACGCAGCTTACGCAACTTACCGGCTCATTCTTTAACGCAACTACGCGCTCTGGCGAACTTACGCAACTTACGCAGCTTTCTTTGGATCGATACGTATGTGTTCTTCAGTCGCAACTTACGCAGCTTACGCAACTTACGCAACTTACGCAAAAGACGTCGCACGGTATGAACGCGCTTTAGGATCACGCGACGTCGAGCGCGGGGACCTGCAAACACAGGGCGTATTGCAGTCAGCGCACGGTTGCAATAAACCTCATCACATTTACTTTGTTCTTGGATTTCGGTTGTGCTTCAGTTTTCAGGCCATGGACTCTTTACTGTGAGTGGGACCTGGTGCGGCATTGACGTTAGATTTTGGTTTTATTTTGCATAAGGAGGACGTGATTGTGTATAAGCAGATCGTGGTAAGAGTTACCTGCCCAGATTCTGCTCCCGAGTAAATCTAATTTACCTGCTGATCTCTAATCATTTGACTGCCACAATGCTTTCTGGACAGCCTACTCTCAGAGACTGCACTTGCTGTCGTATTGCTGAGGTACGACGGGCTGCCTATTCAAAAAAAATAGCAGCGAAATATCACTGTCGCGGATGTGTGCTATCTTATAGCTCGCGCGCCCATCGTCGATAGGGTATTTGCCAATTGAATCGCGCCGACGCGCGTTGGTCCTTACGTCACATATCCGCCTTTAGACAGCTTTGAGTTGAAAACAATTCAGAGTGCTTCTGTGGACCGTCTATGGAAAGCTCCGAGAACGGTATTGAAGCTTCATCGTGTCCCTCGAGCTGAGAGAGTTCATTGGGCAACTCTTGCACGTTGCAGGGACGAATGGAGACGTTACTGGCGCCCGCTCGAGGAACTCGATGATCAACGGGAGCACAGGTGACAGGTGAGATGATGACCACATGCACATTTTAGAAATAGAAAAGAGCCTAAAAATGATTCAAATTCGCTTTTCCTCAGCAAACTTCTCACTCATTTTTGACATTCATAGAAATGCATAGCAAAAACGAAACTCGTTTCTGTGATCCTTATATGGACCCCTACAGCATGCAACCAAACCGATTTCTAAGTAGAGGCGCGCTATTGACCTTGAAGGACCTTCCTTGTGTGAGTCCCTTCCGCGGTCCGACATTATCGCTCATTTTCACGCATTTTATTACAGTTCCGGACGTTGCACGTGCTGTGGATGCGCGTTCTAGGCTGTTGAAAGTGGACAGCTCCCATGATGGCGCCAGAGTTGTATTTTTTTTGAAAGGACCACGGCATGCACGCAAGTGACTTTTATCTGCTCGTTCTGCGCCTTCATCACGAGCAATGGTTCATCTGCTCTTCTGCTGCCTCATAGGCGCGACGGAAGTAATTTCATCTTTGCTGCGTTAGTATAACACCGCCCCCGTGCGCTATATACTGAAGGTAAAATAGTAAACGCTGAAAGTCGCGAATAAACAATAGTACGCTGGAAGATTTTTGCTAAGACTGCTAGGAAAGGATTTCCGGCCCATGTTTGTGTGAAGGGGGACAGTATTAAGCACTGGATGCTTCACTGGTTCTAATAACCTGAGCAGTTTCCTCACTACAAAATCACCAGACAATGCACTTCACAAACTCACTTGATCTTCAACGCGAAGTCCATCTGTCTCCCGTTTTGAATATGAAGGGTACCATCTGAGGGCTATTTGAGACACAGTTCCGGCGAATCTCGTTTGTTTTATGGCTTTTTGGCTGCTAGTTTCGCGCTTTAAAGGCATCACCGCGTTCATTTTATGTTCCTTCGCCCTCCTTAGATATTGTAGCTCTGTCGACAAGGGTGGAGGATGTACTAATTTCGCAGCTCAAAAGTACGAGAGGATGGGGCCACCCGCTTGTGAATGGGAGACCCCCCACCTAGCAGCCATGCCTGCTTTGGCTTAGCCTTTAAAGGCTGAGCCCGCTTTTCAAGAATGACGAGTCATGGAGCTCATATAATACGTGATCCAGTAGTGAAGAAAAAAAGCAGAAAAATCATGGGAAATGCCCTAAATAGAACCCTATGCTGGCCAGGTGGGCGGGGCGGTCTCCCCTTCACAAGCGGGTGGCCCCATCCTCTCGTACTTTTGAGCTGCGAAATTAGTACATCCTCCACCCTTGTCGACAGAGCTACAATATCTAAGGAGGCGTAGGAACATCAAATGAACACGGGCGCTGCCTTTAAGTATGCAGGGAGCCACCAGTGCATTGTTTCTGGCACTGTCTCGCCGAGGATCGCAGACGAGCAGGTGAGTCATCGCTCGCCGCGGGTACAAGACATCAGTCAACCGGTTGCTCTCTTGCTGTAAGGGTTCAGAGGAATGAAAATAAGGAAGGGGATTAGAGAAGGAAGGAAGAAAGAGGATAAAGGAGGAAGGAAAAGGAATGAACAGGACTGACAGATATCCTGAGACCCTCGCCGCGGGTCCCATAGCATCCACAATTCCGTCCAGAGAATCGTTCTGCAAATTTCGAAGGTAAGTCTGGGATCAGCCGTCAAAAAATACGTCCTGCGATCTACCTCACTACAACTGACCGCTTCGATCTGGGACTTCCTAGTGAGCTCAAAAACCCGTCAATACCCTAGCTGTGTCACCCTTAAATTAGCCGGCATAAGGAAACCGTGCGGAGTTTGGTTTCGATGACGCGCATTTACTCAACCCAATCTCGATATTACTTTCAACATTCACATTTACCTTTCACCGTATAATAGGCCAGGACGGGAAACTTGGCAAGGCTGACTGATTGTGAAGAGAATAATAGAGAAAGACCATTCATTCAAAGACCGACCGACCCAAACCCACCAAGCTAGGAAAAGTTCCCATGTGCTTGAACGTCCACAATTGGCCGATGATTCCAAGAAGGAGAGGAGAAAAAAATACCGAACATTATCGAAATCATTGAGCAAACCACGATTATAGCACTTGGCTGAGTTACGCTATCTTGCATCGGTCTGTGATGGAAACGTGACGCTTCTCAGAATGGACGACGATGTTGGATGGGATGTTCAAGGGGTTTCCGATTTCACGAAGAATAACCTCACTTCAGATAAACTTTACGGTCCTCGGTGATTGAATTTTGATAACACATACTTTCTGTCCAACATCTATAATAAGCCACAATTTTTCTGTTCATTCACAAGTTTCTATTACATTTACTCAACTGTAGTATAGTTCGCTGCGGACGGTTCGGTGTATAGGGCGACATGAGTTTGGCGCGTTGCCAAACCCATTCGCCACCCAGGCTACAACATGGGGGTGGGCGAAATGGCGGTGTGAGTACTAGCCCCCCCCCACTTCAAAGAGGGTCCGGTTACAACTCTCTCCCCCCTCTCCTGCTCTAAACAGTCGTATGGTTTTTTGAAGAAATGGCTTCCTAAAGTGAAATAGAGGGGTCTTGCAGTGCAAACTTTGCTCCAAAATTCAGGCAGTA